CCCCCCCCCCCCCCTCCCCCAAGAAAAAAAAATAAAAAAATGATTCTGTCATTATTTTAACATTTTTCCTCCCCCCAGAAAAATGAACCAATCACTGGACCAACCAAGAACGAGCATACACCACCACGCCGAACGAGCATACGCCACCACGTAGAAATAACTCCAAATCTATCTACATAATAGTACATAGATAATGTTTTTTTTCAAATGAAGCCTTATAAGTTATAAACTTATAAGGTTTTTTTTTTCCTTTTATTTGAAGGGGCCCAGTGACCAAATCTAAAATACATGGAAGGTAGAAAAAATCATGTGCTGGTAGGTCTCCAGCCAACCTTGCCAGGCAGGCCTCCACTTGGCCCATCTTGTTTTCAAATACATGTACTCCCCCCCCCACCCCCCCTCCCCTCGTTTTGGTTATTGGGTTGGTTATTGGGTTGGCTATTGGGTGGGTTATTGAGTTGGGTCTTCCTTCTTTTGTTTCCCCTGTTCTTTCGTGCGGTTCTGGTTCTTACTCTTTTGTTTCCCCTGTTCTTTACGTTTGCCTGTTTTGTTCTTTCGTACTTGAAGGGGTCAGCTTAGGGGACGCTGGGCCCGGTTCCCAGCACGTGCTGCTCCCCACGAATAGATTGGAGCCTTGTTGGGGCCTCCATATATAACAGGGGTTGCCAGGCCGAACGTACGGAGGCCCCTAAGCAGACCCCCGAACGTTCAGGCGTTCGGGTGTTTGGGTCCCGGTACGGGGCCCGAACCTGAAGGGGTTCGGACCCAGCAAAAAAATATTTTGGGACCTAAATATTATTAGTTTTTTTCTGATTTTTTTTGTGAGTTCTTTGTGATGTGAGGTATCTCCCTCTTAATTTTGAACCCATTGTGTGCAGCCAAAAAAAAAATGAAAAAGTGGCAAAGATGGTGGTGTCAAAACTTGCTTGCCCACTCACTAATTTGTTTTTTCTCTCTTTTCACTTTTTGGTTTTCCTCTATTTCGGGGTTCGGGGCATGAAAAAAAATATTATTTTTTCGAGCTTTATTTGTAGATTCTCTATTATGTAAGATACACGTATATAAAGTTTCATGACAGTTGTCACAGCCAAACAAAAATGAAAAATCGCCAAAGACGGCGGTGTCAAAAACGTGCTCGACCACTCAATAATTTCATTCTCGTTTTATTTTTTTCTAATTTTCATTATTATTATTATTTATTTTTAGTATTTGATTTTTATTTCAAATTTGGTAAAGAATTTGGATGTAACGTTGCGGCAAATGTTGTTTAGTTTATTCTTCTGCATAACATATATTTTTTTCATTTTTTTTAATTCCTTTTTTTCTTATTTTTCCTTTGTTTTTGGGGTGCCGAACGTTCGGGCGTGTTCGGTTTCGGGCGTTCGGCCCGTCCCGAACGCCGGCAACCCTGTATTATATACA